TGACTGCAAGTCTTTTCCAGACTCCCACTGCTACCCTGATTAGGAACACTCCACCACCATTTCAGAAGCCTGTTTCCTTAGGGGTAGATTTTGAAACTTAGTGCAGAACATGTAGAAAATTAAGTCAATACCTCTGTTTCTTCCCATTTTTAAGTGAGTGAAAATAGAAGTCTGGAATGACTCTAAAGAAAACCACTATTAACAGTCGTGAGTCCATGACCACCCAGTAGTGGAAAGGGGGGGGGGAGGGTGTGAATGTGGGGAGGCTGTTTTAAATCTGGAACTGATTGCATTCACTTTAGCATTTCCCTGCATGTTAGTTTCTATTTCCAATTTTTAATTCCAGTTTTTATTTTTAGCTGGGTGTATTTTAATGGTTTAAATGAAGAAATTGATGCATTTTCTAACTGCAAGCAATAGTGATGATTATAACTGCACTAGGAGCATGGCAATTTTAAATAAAATCATTACATATCAAACACACAAACATAAACAGCCATGTAAGCACTGATGAGAGCTTGGGGTTCCGGTTATAGGTGTGAATTGTTTCTGTTAGAGGATTAGGTTCCTGAAAGTTTGGGGGGGAATTTCAGGTTTCTGGGTGGGCTATAGCAGATTGATGGCTTTTTATCTGCAGACTGCTGCATTTGGCCAATATATTTGGTGCTGTACACTCAGTTTTGTCCTTTTATAGAGGTTCCCCTACTTTATGCCATATTTTTAATTTTTTAATTTCCCTCCAGGATTGTTTCCTCATTCATCCCTGGCACTACTGCAGTCTTTCTCAGCAAATAAAAATACCAACTGAAGCACAAACCCAAGCTGAAAAAGACAGAGGCCCCAGATGGATAATCTCATAGATTATTCCATGATTAATTGTCCCAGATTTATCAAATGCCACATCCAAATAAGGTCAAAGATGTAACCTTCCTCAAGACATGCAACCACCCCTTTGCACAAGCCTTGGTTTCTATCATGGAAAGTTTAAACTGATTTCCAATAGCAAGAGAAAAAAGAAGTAATGTTGATACATTCTGAGCTATGTACTCAACATGCCAAGAAGATCATTAGTGACTGACACCAATGATGTGCCATACAGCAAGATGTCTCTTTTGTGCCTGTCCTTTACTGACATTCCTGTCGCATCCTATTCACCAACCTCCTGCAGTGGCCCTCTCGTGTTTTGGATCAAAAAATTTCCCTGTTATTGTTAGTGGTTTATGCATATTGCCATTTTGCTCTGGTTTTCGCAATTCATTTTGTTTGTATTTTAATCACTAAATGAAAAAAGTTACTCATAGCAGAATAATCAGCATTGCAATATATATGTATTTATCTGTACCTGATTAAATATCATATTTTTAATAGGTTATAAGCCTTAACTCCCAGAGGAAGACTCACAAATTCACTTTATTTCCCTGATTTCACATTTAGGTCTCTACATTAGCTATAAATGTGCAAAACCACATGGAGGTGGTTCCTATTTACTGCATAGCTGAGGAGGCACATGGCTCTTTTTTCTTTCACCATATGGCTGAAGTAACTTGCACATAAGCAATTTGTTCTGATTCAGCTGTTTCAGCAGGAAGGATTTGCAGAAGCAGGATTGGGAAATACACAGGATTCTCTTTCACTTCTGTGGCAAGAGTTATATTTTTAATTAGCCCCTGCTAGTCTTCTGAGGGCAGCTTGTAGAAGTTTAATTCTCTAGCTCAAATTTGAGTCTGACTCGGTAAGGCCATTTTTTATGTGTATGTAGGGACCAGTTCTGAAAGCATTTTCAGGTTTTTAGAAAAGTCAGCTCCTTGGCAAATTCCACTGAAGAAAAGTGAGTGGGATTTTCTTTTCTTTCAGTAGACTTGACTTACATGAAGCTTATTGAAGACACGGGAAGCAGGGAGTGGTAGTCAATATGCTACTTCACTGAAATCTTAAAAGAACCAGCTGTTGGGAGGATTTCATAAAACATGTGTATAGTAGTTTAAATATCTGAAGGCCCAGGGTTTGTACAGTGAGAAGGAATAAAAACCTAAGCCAACTCATAATGGACAGAAAAAAACCTGTAGATTAGTGTATTTCTTGTTACTTGTTTACACAGTAGTATAATTAAAATCAAAGCAATTGGATTTACTAAAATCTGACAAGTAAAAAAAAACAACAAAACAACCAGAGGTCCATTTGAAATAAAGTTCAGTTGATTAAAAAAAATTAGCGTTTAAGAATATAGATTGATTAAAAACTATAACCAACATATAGGGAACGGAGAAAAAGCACAGAACATAAACCAGCCTTATTAATTTGAAGCAATGCTCTGGGATTTTAAAATAATATCAGCTGAATGAACATGGTGTCGCACATATTTAGGAAGGGGGAGCACAACATCCAAATGACTTGCAAAATGTTGTGAATTTGTAATTCAGCGTAATACGTGGGATATATGTGGTGGTGCCTTTAAAATTCAGCTCTAATACAGCATCCTGTCAGCAGTGCTATGGTTAAGAGCCTGTGAGAAAGCATCCCTTTAATGTCATTGGTCTTTCAGATTTCAGTTTAATATTTAAGCTGTTTCTAATTGTGTTCAGCTAAAACTTGGCATACAGTTTATGGACTTGGATGCAACTTTCATTTCAGTAAAAAATAAAATGGGAGGAAAGAGGCAAAATTTTAATCTGTCCTGTTACTGGAATTATTAAGTGGTAAATTAGGTAAAAGTTTCAATGTTTTAGTCACCTTTCTGAAATTTGTCCAAACATGACTTCTTACTCTAAACATGTAGTTTACTCTAAAAATGCAACAGAATGTAATATAGGACACACACGGTTACATAGCCAAGAACTAATCAAAACACTCAACTTTGAACCTTCTGTAACAGACTTTAAGAAAACCAAATTAGGATCTTGTTCATGGGGAGAGATGTGTGTGTTAATGACTAGAAAAGGAGCTCTTCACACAGTTCAGGAAATTGCATTAGCCTTCACCAGCACCAGAAAACCAAAGTGAAAAGTCTGTGTTGGAACCAAACCCTAATGTCGGTTTTAGGAGAGCTCCTGAAGTGTTGTCAGTAGATACACCGCATCCAGCATTTCGCATATCATTGACCCCCAGGGCACTGTCACCAGAGCCAGCTGGCTGCCTTCACTCTTTCCTCAGCAAAGGGTGCAGGTTCCCCCCAGCCTTGCAGGGCTTTGAGGGAGTAAAATGCCTTTGTCTATTCCCAAAGAGACAATGGAATTACAGGGAAAAATAAAAAAAAATGTGGGGAGAAACTTTCAGTTTGTGATTGTTGCAGCTGTAGCTGGTCCCACACAGCTGGTGGCTGGGGAAGAGAAGTACCCGCTCCTGCCCTCTCCCCTCCCATGGCTGCAATGGGTGGTGGAAACGCATCTTCTGCCATCTACAGACCATGTTTCACTTAGGAAGAGCCGCCACCTGCAAGACTCCCTGAAGGAGGACTGGTCATCCAGCTTATCTTGAAGCCAGAGGCCATGGAGAACAGCTCAGCAGAAAAAGACACTTCATTAGCACAGTCAAGACACATTAGTCATCCAGAAAATCCTTTAAGGCAGGAAAACTGGCATCTTTGGCTTCCCAGAGTTTGCCTAGACTTCATGCTTCTTCCTGTCTTCCATCAGAGATCCCAGAATAGCAAATAGCAATATATTCTTGAATATTAAGCATATGGGGCTCAGGAGGCACAGCCCATAATTGAGGAGTGCAGTCCGTTGGTTGTAAGGGGGAGGAGGAGGGCGCAGGCTCCTCCCCACTAGACGTCTGTGCTAATTTTGCTGACTGCAGGAATAGTGGCCTTTGGGGCATTTAATAAAAAATGATTATGGAAGAGACAGGACTGTGGCTATATTACTCATCCATTAACTAGCTATGCATGAGAACAGACACTTCCCTCCCTGAAGCAATATAGCAATGGACATACAGTCATTGCATGGCTGCTCTGCTCTTTGTGTCCTCCAAGGGAACGAATTTTGTTCTGGCTTGAGCAAATACAGCATCTCATAGAACCATAGAATTATAGAATGGTTAGGGCTGGAAAGGATCTTAAGATCATCTAGTTCCAATCTCTCTGCTGCGGGCAGGGACGCTTCACCCTAGACCATGTCACCCAAGGCTCTGTCCAACCTGGCCTTGAACACTGCCAGGGATGTAGCATTTACCACTTCTTTGGGCAGCTTGTTCCAGTGCCTCACCACCCTCACAGTAAAGAACTTCTTCCTTATATCTAACCTGAACTTACCCTGGTTTAGTTTGTCCATTGAGATCAGTGGAAGCTGGTCTGTGCTAGGCCAAAGGTAACACAACATAATATAGATTCCTTCAGTAAGTGATTGACAAGTTGGTTTATAACAATTTCTGATGGGGCTGCTTTAGCTTTAGGTATAATTAAGTAGGAAGACACACGGTGAAGTTTTTCAAAGGCATCCCTGATGTTCCCCAAGGGAACTTTTAAAGTCCTGGGTGGCGGTGGGGCACTTGACTCCTGTTGACTCCAAACTTCAATCAGGTCCCATAACTGTCAGCTGTAACTTTAATGTTCTCCTGTCTGATTTCCCAGAGGCACGAGCAACCAAATGTTCCCAGTGAATTTAGCTGGGAGCTGCAGAGAGTGGTGAAAATCAGTCTAGGTAGTTAGATGCCTCCATAAGAACTCAAAAACATGCTCTTGCCAATTAGGACTCGCCTTTCAGGAGTGTTCACCTGACTACTTTCTCTTTCCTGGAGCATGTCCATAGTCACGGGGGCTGGGGCAGTTAGTAAAAACCCACCAGGTCTTCCTGTAGAAACGTGGTTTACAAGCAATATCTTAAAAATAATTTACCTAACCACTGTTATTAATGGTAGCTCTTGTCATCAACTGTACCATGACCATACTGACTATTTCATGACATAGAGAAAACTGCTCAATAAATGACAAGTTCTGTTTTGAAAAGAAGAAGGAAAGGAGGAAGAGAAAAGACCTGCACACTCCTGAATGCTATACGTCACCCCAAAATCACTTGCAGGTGTACATAAGTCTTGCCAATCCTTCTAGCCCAATTTTTGTATGCAAGGTCATCCTCCTGGTGCTACCTTAGAAACTGGCCTTATTCTACAGAGGACATTGAATGATAACACTGCAAGTCAGCTGACTGCTGTGTCACAGAGCTGCTGCTTTCTACATTATCGCAACTGCCAGAGCTCTTACTGCTGCAGTTTTCTAGTCGCAGTGCGGCAAAGCAGACGCATAGAACCAGGCACAAAGCAGCATAGATTTTTTTTATATTCTTGCCTTTTTCATATGAAGGGAATATTCCTGGTGTTAGCGCAGGAACAGACACACAGCCTGGATGTGTTGGCTTCAGCCTGGCAGCGTTTTCAGCTGAGCAGGGACTGCTTGGAGCTCTGCACCCAAACTGCCTCTGAGGAAGAACGCCTGGCTTCCCACTTTATGTACTAAGAGTGTTTTTTTTTTATGCTACGGTGATATACCTGCAGCAATAGGACAAAGGAGATAGTACTTGTCACTGTTTGCTCGACTGGGGCCTTTGCAGGCACTACACTGCCGAAGCTGTGCCAACGTCCCAGGGTCATATAGATTGGTAATACAGATTGCCGCAGTTTCTTACCTCAGTTAGAGCAAAGCTCATACAAGAAACCAGACTCTCTGACCTAAATCAATCCCACTCCTTTTGGATACAGGGCAGCAGTCGACTAGCAATGACACAACCAGCCATCAAGTGGAGACTCTCTGGGACTGCAATCTGTATCGGTTGGAGTCTGAGAGAATGAAACCTTTTCGGTTATCCAGTCGCTTCTCCTTCTTCTAATACTGCAATTACTACAACTACAACAACTACTACTACTACTTCTGTTTTTCTTGCCTGTAAGAAGCTATAAATTGTGCTTGGTCTCTGAGCATATATTTGCCTGGATTAGTCTGTCTATAATGCAGTTCTTATCTGCTCCTGCTGGAAATCAGGGCACAAAGTCAGCCTGCTTTAACAGTTTTTTCTTTCTGCGTGATGCTATGCAACTAGAATGGGTTACACTGACAACAAAGGAACAAGCACAAAGCACCACTTTCTTTGCTGGACTGTTACAGGAACATAACTCTTCTTCGATATGACACCCTGGTCTCTTCTCTTTGCTGTTCTATTGTTGCTGGGTATTTTTGTTTCAAATTCATCTAATCGAAGAGCCTAACAGACACCATCGTGGATGTGGGTTTTAATGCTTTGGAAAAGACAGCCTGTGGAGACTGCGATTTGAGACAGCAACACATTTAGGTTATTGCCAATTTGAAATACTTGGTTTGTGAAGCACAGCCCTAAGGGACGAGCTCAGTAACTGAGAATGATATTGTAGATAAAGAAATAAAAATGACAAGCGTAATGGAGGCTCTGCAAAAGAGACTGTCAGAGAATCAGTTCATGGATGGCAATTTCACCAGTCTGAATCTGAATAATTCATAGATTGAAATTACCCTGCTTTCACCTTTCCATTTAAAACGGCATGATCTGAATCTCTAATAAATTTTCAAGATAAAGTAAAATGCCAATTTGAATCTGAAGAGCTTTTAAAACCAGATGCTACACCCTGAATCTTTCGATACCTTTCACAATTATCCTGTGAGAACCGCACTTCATCATGAAGCACCATTACCAGTGAAAATTACTGTGATTACAATAGCAACAATAGAATACCATCAAATGATCTCTAATTTACCTAATTTACCAAGGCTGACTGTGTGCCCATTGTGTTTCACTACGTCTGGCATTGGATCAATATCACAGTGGAACAAAAATGCCTTAGTGTGTGCTTTCTTTTGGCACCTTTAACTTTGACAGTACAGGAAAAATCTATCTGCTGTTAAATGTTTTTACAGCCAATCTGCATGCCTGCTGTAAGATCTGATTGATTCTCCATGATTTCTTTAGCTCTTGGGTACTGGATGTCATTGTGTTACTAATTTGTTTATAATGTATACTCATGCACAAAGACTGCAGCAAATGAGTACCAGCAGAGAGACCCTGCACTGCTGCTGCAGTGGCAGCGCTCTTGCAGGGGAAGCCAAAATGAGTTCGGTGCCTTATGTTAATAGTTACTCGTGTCTGAGTTAGAAATGCTTTCTAGCATCACCGGCCTTGGTCGTATTACATGAAAAAATTATGCAAAAGCCACAGCGAAGTAAAATGATCATGTGGGATACTAACAAGATTTTTTTCCCCTATTCAGCAGTTAGCATGTGGTTGTGAGACAGACTGCAACTTCTGTAGACGTGCATGTGTAGGTACGCATGCACATACATAGACATAAAGATACTGTGCTTTGTGAATATGTGCCGATCACTGAAAGTAGCAACTTTTTCTGACAAGCCAGGCACAGTGTTTTGCCACAATCTGCTCACTTGTAACAAATCCCTGGTTTGGAGGTGTAAATTTCCTATAGGATGAAGCGTGACTTCTGGAACAGTAAGTACCATTTATGCAATGTGTTGGTGCCTATAGCTGCGCTGGAGAATAGTATTTTAAGCACAGTTTGAGCCCTTGTAGCATAACTATGATGTGGAGAATTGAGAAACATGTACAGAAGGCTAGAAACAGGCATTCTTCATGGAGATGACTGTATCTGCTGTGTGTATGTGTGTGAGTTGTACAGTTCAGGCTTGTTTTTCATTTTATAACCAGATTTACTCTGCCTTCAGGGAATAGTTTCTAAGGAAGGAAGGTAAGCAGTATTTATTGTAATTTATATGACTGTATTGTATTTCTTTTGTGGAAAATGCATGTTTATAGCACATAGTTATATAAAACAGCATGATCTCATGACATCTAATTAAGTGTTTCTGTATTCATGTTAAAATTGGACAAGAGAGCATATTTAAAATATGGGTTTTAATTCAAAATAGACTTGCAGAAATGCTACGCAAAAAAGAATTTAAAGATTGGGTTTGTATTCAGATTTGACTCTTTCATGTTATTAAAGAAAAGTCTATTATACCTAAATAATAATGTTTTTGAAATATTTGGATTTTAGATAATTTATCTTCTTAAAATACAATGTGCTGCACTTCTGAATTTCCTGTATATGAGTGGAGACTGTTCTTTAGAGGTAAGAGAGGCAGAAGGTTTTACAGCTTTAGCTGTGATAACAAAGGAATTTGAAAGGGCACAAAATATGATTATACAAAAATCTTGAATTTTAGATTATTCAGTAATGTGATTTAGCAAACTGTTTTTCTTAGACAACATGCTCTCAAGTTACTATGCTATCTGGAATTAATTAGTCAACTCAGTGCTATATTTATATTCTTCATTTTCACACAGTATTCAAAACTTAACAAAGAAAAAAAAAATCCTTGTGTAAAGGAGAGACTGGAACTCTGGTGAAAGTGTAAAATCTGCATTATGTTACTGTGGTAATAAAATCAAGAGATTCAGACCAAACTTCGTTGAAGAGAACTAGGTGGTTTGGTGTAACTGTTTTATGATGAGTATTTTATAATTTTAGGTACACAAATATAAGATACACTGATATAACTACTATGCTGCAAGGATCACGCAAACAGGAATGTAAATGTTTTGCAAAATACCATACAAATACTTGCTAGCATTTACATTATTATTATTATTATTATTAGCATCACAGTCTTATAGTATTATTTACTGGTTTGAAATCATGGTCTGTTAACCATTTTGATTCTATTTGCAATCAGAGTTTCTTTATCAGTGTTATCTGCTGCAACAGTCTGTGGAGAGTGGCTGGTCATGGGATGCTAGATGTCCTCATTAACAGCTGCAGAGCAGTTTATAACATAAAGTTTACATTTAAGGACTCGATCCAAAGAATTCTGTGAATCCCTGCTGGAGTTCTCTAACTTAGTTTGTGTTCATATTACTGAATTTTTAATGTGCCTCTGGCTTTCACCCACTGCTCCCCACTGGCCTCATGTTTCAAAATACACAGTGCTGATCAAGCCTAATGCTATTTCTCAGTGTAAGCCACTGCAGTAGTTGCCAGAGGATGTTATGACAGTGCCCTCAGGAGGTAAGGTTATCTGTGAGACTGCTGCAAAGTCCCTGAAAAAGTTTGAAAAACCCAGGAAGTAAACTGCCTTTGGGTTTGTGTTTCAAAAAGGGCAGGACTGCACTCTGCCAGCAGGACAGATTGCATGTGCAAACGGGGAAAAGAGCATTAAACTCAGCTGCAGGATCATGAGGTGAATATTACCTTGTAAAAAGCATTAGTCACCTGTACTATCCATATATTTTCTGATACGGCTATAGTTAATCAGGTGCAGCTACAGATGAAGTGTTTAAGATGTATAATTGTATGTGCTGAAATACATGGCAGACTGTGCAATATTAAACTTCTAACACAAAGCCACTAATTTTAGCAACAGTATTCAACAGTTAACCTACATTATGTCACAAGATGTATTGGTCTGGTTTTGTGCTTATGATTTTCACTGTGTTGCACTTGTCTATAGATGGATCTCCAAATGCAATTAAGGGCCAAAACACTTCTTCACATGATTTCCCAGTTAAATGCCAATATTCAATTCAGGAAAATTCCTTCTATGAGTCTGGAGGACCCATGCCCTCATCTGCAGCTAGACAGTGATTGTAATCCAGTTGCACATGTGAAGAACATACTGAAGCCCATTCTACTGCCATTAGTTTAGTAGCAACACTCCCTGTGCTATTCAGCATAGAAAATGGATTGATTAATTACTTTCCTTTCATTATAGACTTTCTGTGAAAGTTCTTGCTGTTTTGTTGTTTTGTTTTGTGGTGGTTTTTTTTGTTTGTTTTTGTTTTTCTTTTGATTGGAAGAATCCAGTGTAGCTGACACAATGTTGAATAGGAGATGCTTTCTGTTCACCAGGACATGTGGCCTGAGCTAAACATACACTGAAACCACCAATTCAGGATAGGTTTGTCTGTGAATTGAAGGGACCTTCTTGCCTGTAATTTTGTTGATAGTATTTGTTTTGTAGTATATCTGCTCACTTGCTTGTCAATTCTGCATTCTTAACAGCTGCTATAAACCACACAAGTTCTGGTCTATAATGGTTGTATCTACCTGGACAAGAGAGCCCTGAGGATAGAAGGGTCTGTTGTGTGTTTGTGTTTTTTTCTTCACTTTACAGTTGCTTTGAATTAATTGCAGCTGCCTATGGAAATATGATCTGCTAAGAATGTAGAGAAATGCATTATGTATGTATAAAGTATCTCTAGATTCCTCTGCATCCTGGCTGCTAGGAATTGCACACTATTATTTCTGGACAAAAATGTTAGGAGGAATGTAATACTGAAGTAACTTGAAAGGGTAACAGCAGCATTTCCAAACCAGCCATTTTGACACATGAAATTCAGGGTTAAACAAAAGACAATATAAATGTTCACAGATATCACAGATACAATTAAAATAGCTTACTCCCTTTCTGATGTCATGTGAAAACTGCAGGATGTGATAAAGGTAAATAATTTTGCCTTTTCAGTTCATATTATATAGATACAACTAAAAACCACCTTTGGCTTTAGAAGTATTCACATTGCATTTCACAGTATCAGTTCACTTTCTTTATGGACTATAAAGATACACCTGCTCTGTGTTTTTAGCTGCATAACTCTAATGTAGCCAAAAGTTCTGAAAATCGAATGATTTCTGACCAAGTGAAAATGGGAAATGAATTCCAAAATGGGAACTGCAGTGGAAGCAGTGGGTTTCTCAGGTCTCATGCCAATCCTTCTAATGGTGCATTTTCTACATCAGCTTAAACTCAGTTAGAATTTATCCTAATGAGCACAAAATTAAAACAAAGCAGGAATTCAAAATATGCCCCCATTTGAAGTTGAAAACTGCATTTGATACTATTTATGCCACAGGTCTTGTTTCAAAGTTTATCAGGGAATCGTATCCAAAAGCATATTTGAAACAATATACCTCATTTGTAGCTAGTCATGTGTAAGCGAGAACACCCAGTGAATTAGCTTTGAATGCTAGCTAAATTGGGAAATGCTGTTAAAATTAAATGGAAAAAAAAAAAATATATATATATAAAATAAGACAGTGAAATGTTCAGTAGAAAAGCCTTTTCTCATACTCACCCATTTCTGTTTCTTCTGCCTCCTATGTTCATTCCAAAGCCACCTCCAATGGCATAACAATCACGGAGACTTGTCACCCCTCTGACCTGCAGGTAGTAAGTGATGGTAAGAAGCTTCATTCTGATGAGATCCCACATCCTCAGCTCCTAAAGGCAATACCCTGGTTGGCAGGCCTTGGGTAGAGGGAGGTATGCAGAGGGGCCTTGAGGGTGGGGAACAATCTATATGCTACATACTTCTGACTCCTATAATAAAGCAAAAGTGGAAAAAAGGTCATTATTAAGTAATTAAAGAGGAGTAGTAATATCTTCAGTTTCTACATTTTCACAGGCAGCTCTCCTCTAAACTTGTCATATTCGTACCTAGCATGAGCATCATGTATCAAAATTCTAAGTCATACAGAAAACTTAATTTGTCAATCAAAGTTGTGACTGAAGAAAAATTTCCATAACTCAGTCCACTACAATAATGCTTACTCATTTAAGTACCCACAGTCCCAGCATTACTTTTTAAAACCAGCTTTAAGGCCTTCTTATTTACATGTAAATGTAGCCACCGATGCCACTGCACCTGTAATAGCTGTAAGTTAACCATACATTTCATAACAGTTTAAGCAGCTATATCTCATTTAATTTGTCATTTTGGGTAACGGTATTTTTGCCTTTCCTTTGAGTGATACAGCACAGCACATATCATGCATAGAATTAGCATGGATCCTTGCAATTCCTTTTCTAAAAAGAAATTATTTTCTTCCAAGCTTGACTGTGCTAAACTTATCACCTACCTTTTCCTGAGGTGCAGTCTGCCTTTGGCAAGCTCATGGGCTTGATCTGGTTATGAACTGCTTACAATTTCTGCTTGTTTGGTGTCTGTTTCATTATATTTAGGAGTTGGAGTGCATCCTTTTCTCTGCCACAAAACTCGATGCTAGGTAATTACTTAAACCAAACTTTCTAATGATACATGCTAGATCTTCTGATAGTTGTGCGTGACTTGCTGAATTGCTGAGCTCTTGCAACAGTATCCGAAGTCCATGGAAGTATGCATAGGATGGATTTCTCTGTAAAGAAATAAAGAAAAAAGTAACTTCTTTGTGCTTCAGATTGTTTGCTCCAGTTTTGACAATACTTGTGACCTTAATCCCTAGGTCTTTGTTTTATTTTTGTAAACGAATTTCTCTAAACACAATTCTTTCACCTTATAGATCACTGTATGAAAAGAATTTCATTATCTGTGAGTCAGATAACAAATAGGTAACTGTTAAGGGATCCTGCTGGAAATGCATGCTCCCATAATCAATGCTGTGTGGCAGATTAGGACCAGGCTCTTCAGAAAATGAGGACTAATAGACTGAATTGCTGTTCATTGAGAGTTTGTCTTGAGCACAGAGCAAGTTTTGTACTCCATCATGCTGTTGTTTTTTCTGTCCATCCCAGCATTTTCCCATTTTGAAAAGCAACTTTCTTGTCACAGTCTCACTCAAACCCACTCAAGCCACATTTCCCTGGGCTCACTCCTTTCCTAACAGCTTTGCATCCCTGCTGCTTCTCATCCTAGGATCCAATCTTGGTCTAGTCAATCCTAATCCTCTCCAAAGAGACTTTTTTTTTTTTTTTTTTACTTCTCCCACTTTACACTTTACATTCCCCCTTTCCCACTTCACACTCCCCTTCCTGACCTCTGAGCTTTTGTTTCCAGTTGCTTGGCATCAAACTGGTTCTTTATTGTTCCAGTCTGACCTTCAAAATATAGGCAGCTTCAAGCACCCAAATGCGGGTGTATTTTCATAGAGAGAGCAATAAGCATGTCTCTCAGGGAGAACATTCCCTTAGCTCTTTTCCATCTCTACGGAGTTCTTCAAGGCACACAGGCACAAGAACATTTCCCATATTTTTAAACAGGGCTAAGCCCAAAAGCTTACAAACAATGGGATAATAACAACAACTAATATCAATAACAGTAGAAACAAAGAGGGGGAAAATCCCCCGATGCAAATGCCCTGTGTGGAAAATACCAGCTGAGTAGTTAAAGTCTGGCAGGACTGAAAGCATCAGAGAACAAGATCATATAAACGAAAAGTGCTGAGAGGCTGAACATAATCAGAGTTCCCTGCATGCATTTCCCATGCCTATGCCACATACAGATGTGTATGAATATACCTTCATATAATTGGGAAAAGAATGACTTTATTATGCATATATTTTCTTTAAGATCAACAAGAACACCCTAATTCTGTATTTTGGAAATATATAAACATAATTTGGGGGAATTTTGATCACCAGCTAATGTACAAAGTTTACAGAATTGACCATTCCAAAGAATTTTAAGTTTCAGTGGTACTTTGGGGGTGTCAGGGGCAAAAAATAAAATATACCTGTCAAGGGGTATCATAAATGTGTGAAAAAGACTAGATACCTAACTATAATTGTTTGTTTATTTATTTAAGAAGCATTAAAATGCTGTCTTAATTTGGCACTGGAAAATTTCTGGCTTTCCTATGTTCTTGGGTTTGGAGATGTCCTTTCATCTTCCACTAGGGCAGTAAAGAAGAGACTGTTGGTGGGTACATACTTCTGAACAAACAGTTTATCTATTTGAGTAGTCCACTTCCACAGTTTCTGGACATTCACAAGAATAGGCTGGAAATATTTGCATTGCTATATATTTAGCCACAATACCTATCAAGAAAAAACAATTTTATTGTGGAAAGCACTGTATGAAGGGAAAATGTCTACCCTTTGGAGTTGG